TAGATAAAACTAAAAATTTTAAAAACATTACCATCGGTCCAAAATTTTTCCTAATTGCAAGAAAAAACAGCAATGAAACATTAAAAAATATTTCCCAGTTTCTTATTAAAAAAGTGATCGACAATGTATGCGGTGAAGTCGGTATGTGTAAAAAAATTCGAAGCGGAGAACTTTTAGTGAAAACTAAAAATGCTACTCAAGCCACAAAACTTATCCAACTTGTGTGAGTAGAGTAGAAGTGAAAGAGCACAATTATCTCAATTACAGCAAAGGTGTTATTTACAATAACGATCTTCGAGGAATCCCTGAAAAAGAAATATTAAAAGAACTGAAGCAACAAAACGTTACGGAATTTAAAAAAAAATTAAAAAAGGTTAATGATTCGCTGGTGGAGACCGGTCTTATTATTGTAACCTTTTCTTTAGTAAACCTGCCAGAGACTATTAACATAGGTTATGAACGGACCATTATACGTCCATACATACCCATGCCACTTCGATGCCGCCAATGTTTTCTCTATGGACATACAATAAATTTTTGCAACAATAACAAAATATGTTTTAACTGTGGCGAAGAAGAACATTTAAACGACGATGATGAGTGTACAAGAACAACAAAATGTGCAAACTGCAGCAAAGAGAATCGGAGTGAAAACAACCACTCCGTTCTCAATAAGAAACGTCCCGTGTTTTTAAAGTTCAAAGAACTCCAAACAATAAAAACAATCGATAAATGTGACAACAAGACTGCATTAGAAAAGTACAAACAACGTCACCCAAACGAAACATTTGCACAAACAACACGCAATCTCGTCAAATATGACGATCAACAACATAACAAAACCAACAAAACATCGTTGAAAAAAGACGAAAATAAAGCTACAACATCATCTGCTAACTCAAAGAACACATCGAAGCGAATGAGAAATGAGATAAAAAATAAAATTTCCCCAAAAAAAAAAAAAAAAAAATTGTGCACAAACAATGCTGAAAGCGAAATTGACAGTGACATTTAAAACTACAATGTTTAAGACAATTTTGTTTCTTTTTTGAGTAAAATAATTGTTAGTTTTCTCTTATTTTATGCATTCTCTCTTTTGTTTGTTTATATTCGCATGGGTTTAAAAATAATTCAATGGAATATTAAAGGTTATTGTAATAATTATGCTGAATTACAAAATTTGATAAAAGTACATAAACCTAATATAATATCATTGCAAGAAACGCATTTCAAAAAACACAACAACATTCCAATTCCTATTAATTTTTATTTATACAACTCAAAAAACTCAGCCGTATTAATTCATAAATCCATACCCCATGAGTTCATAGGTTGTGTTGACAATATGGATACAGTGATAGTAAAAGTGATTTCACATCAGACATTCTACTTATATTCCACATATTTAAATCCGGCAAGATCTTTCAATTTAAATGATCTTGTAAACCTTTTTTCATCTCAAAATCCAATGCTTATTACGGGTGATATGAATAGTTGGCATCCTCTCTGGGGCTCCACAACAACCAATTCTAGAGGGAAAATTCTAGCTAAATTCATAACACAATCAAATTTAACGATCTTAAATAATGGTTCACCAACACATTTTTCCACCCACAAAACGTTTACACATATTGATGTTACATTGATTTCTTCTTTATTATCACTACATGCAAATTGGAAAATTGAAAGCGATCTCTACGGAAGCGACCACTTTCTGATACTTATCACTCTTTTCTCAACAAACAATTATACAAATCAACATAAACTCAAACCAGCTTTTAATACCAAAAATGCAAATTGGGACCATTTCAAGTATCTATCTGAAAAGTTTAGTGCAGAAAGGCCATACAGTACCAACATTAATAAAGAAACAGCTAATATTCAAAAAAATATTATACAAGCTGCTAATGAGTCAATACCTCAATTTAAAACTTCTTCGAAAAATAACTTTGTCCCCTGGTGGAATAGCAAACTTGATGACCTCAAGCGTCAAAGAAATCGACTATTTTATATATTCCGAAGAAATATCACAGATGAAAACCTAGTTAATTACCGTAGAGCCAATGCTCTTTTTAAGAGAGAATTAAAACTCTCTAAAAAACAGTCTGTTGAAAAATTCATTGCTCAAATTAATTCATCAAGCCCAACAGGAAGAATTTGGAGTAATATTCGCAGATTTTGTGGTATAAAGCAAAAAAATTCCTTTCATTGCATTTCTATTCCTAATGGTGTTAATATCACTAATCCAGAAGAAATTGCTAATCTTTTCTGCAACTTTTGGTCGAGTTTATCAGAAGATTCTAAATTCCCTATTGAATTTCAAACACAAAAGGAAATGTGCTCACAATATCCTCGATTTCTTGTTCCAAACAAACATGCCAGGTTTCTTGAAAATGACATTACCATTTTCGAACTAAAAATTGTTCTCAATCAAATCATAGGAACAACTCCAGGAATTGATAGAATCAACTATCATATGATTCAACACCTAGTAATGAAATTAAAACAGCGTTAGTCATACTTTATAACAACATTTTGAATTCTTTCATTCCGCAAATTTATAAAAACAGCCTAATAATACCAATCCCAAAACCTAATTCCGATCAATCATCCGTTATGTCATATCGGCCTATATCCCTAAATACATGTTGCTCAAAGGTGCTTGATAAAATCATTGCTAAAAGGTTATGGTGGTTTATTTGTGTTAAAAACCTTCTAAGTCCTTTTCAGTTCGGGTTTAAAAAGGGTAAATCTATTGCCGATCCTCTGATATTTTTAGACTATCAGATAAACAGCTCGTTAAAATCAAACAAACACCTTTCAATAGTATCCCTTGATTTTTCACAAGCTTTTGACAGGATTGGTATACATGCTATTCTCTGTCAACTTGTAGAATGGGGAATAGGACCTAAAACTTATAACTACATCAGGAACTATATGAATAATAGAAAAATAAAAGTAAGGGTTCACTCCCACTTTTCAGAAACAAAAAATCTGTACAATGGCATCCCTCAAGGTTCTCCACTCTCTGCGGTCTTATTTTTAATTGCCTACAACAAACTAACAAAACTATTGGAATCGCACGAAAATCTCAAATTTATTTCCTATGCCGATGATTTTATAATAATGAAAAATTTGTCAAACAAGAAATATTCAACCGTCAATGTTGGTAACCTTTTTCCAGAAATAGAAAGATGGTGTGCTTTTTCCGGTGCTCAATTATCGCTGGAAAAATGCAAACATCTACATATATGTCGCAAACATGATTGTCACTCAGATTTAATCTGTAGCAGTCACACGATTCCGTCAGTAGTAGCGCTGAAAATCCTTGGAATTATTGTCAACAAACTCTTCAGACCAAACTAAATGTAATTAAATGTTTATCCAATAAAAAATTTCAATGCAACACATACACTTTAATATCAATTATCCGTTCTCTCATAATATCAAAAATTAACTACGGAATTTTCTTGTATGGATATACCGCAAAATCGACTTTAAACAAAAACCATTTTTAATGCCCCAGGTAGAACTGCATTAGGAGCACACCACACTACAAAAATAGCTAACATGTTATGCGAAGCAAATCTCATGACAATTGAAAATTATAGAGAAATATCGACAGCAAAACTTTTTAAAACTATCTTACTAAATGATAATTCGCCAGTTTTGGAGTTGTTTAAAAAAGCTTCCAAAACAAAAAAAATCAACAAAAGCAATTCCTCTCTAACACGTATAAAAAATTTTTGTGAGTTATATTGCATTCCATATAACCGCAAAACCCCGCAATGTGTGAAGCCCATTTGGATGTTTAACACCTACCCAATAGATACATCTCTTCGAAAATATTGCAAGGAAAATACAATACCTCAAATTTATTTCAATGAATTCCACAGCATTCAAGAGAAATACTAAGAATATCAATTCATTTATACTGATGGCTCCAAGTCCCATAACTGTATCAGTTACAGCATAGTAACCAAAGATGAAGTTATTAAGTCTTCACTCCTATCGGAATATTCATCAGTTTTCTCTGCCGAAATAATAGCCATATATAAAGCTATAAAATATACTAAAGATGTAAAAGGCAAATTTGCTATAGCATCAGACTCATTATCAGCTCTGGACAGTATCGCGAACCCAAATAATTCCAACATTTATGCCGCCATGATTAGGGATATAATTAACAATGATAAGCATGTATTAGTGTGGGTCCCAGGACATTCAAATATCAAAGGAAATGAGTTCGCAGATTTTGTAGCAAAGCAAGCTTTAATTTTTCCACTAACAACCACTGAAAATTTAAGCAGTAATGATATAAAGAAGTTTATAAATAAATACTTTTACAGTCAGAGGACTTCCATTTGGAATAACTCTTCTGACTGGTACAAAATTATTAACAATAATCACACTCATATTAAGGCATATCTTAATAATAATAATTTATCCAGATATGACCAGATTAAGATCCTTCGTTTAAGATTAGGATGCTCTCGCGTGACTCACGACTATATAATCAACAAAGAATTAAAGAAAGAATGTAAATTTTGCAAATCTAACATATTTGACATGAATCACTTATTACTAAACTGTGAATATATTAAAATATTGTTAATACCGCTTTTCCCAATATTAACATTCTTAATATACTACGTAACATACATAATGAAACCCACATAATGGATTTAATTAGTTTCTTAAAAAAAATTAACCTTTACAATTCCATATAAAACAAATATTTTGTTTATATTCCAAAAATATTATTAGTTATATAATTTATTACTAAAATGAATTTCATGTACATACGTTACTTAGCTTAAGGCCATTGTAGCCATAGCTAGTTATATTATACTTGTAATGCCTATTTGTAAGTTTAATTGAAAAATAAAAAATAAAAAAAAAAATAGTTTCAAATTGAGGTTAAAAACATGAATTGGTTCACCGTTTTTGCAATTTTTTAAGTATGTCATTTGAGTATGTCGTTTTAACAATGACTTTACCTTGGCTGCCAGTTGTGAACTCCCACATCTTTAAAAATGCTTTTATGTGACAGTTCAGTACCACTTAAAAAGCAATTGTCGTGAACTGCTCCAAAATGTGCTATATCCGCTCCGTTTTCTGGAATTTCTTGTATATGACTGTTTACAAAAAATTCGTTTCTCCCATGATAAACAAATCTTTCTATTTCAATTTCACTCAATGCTGGTATTTCCCATGGTACCAGTTCAGGGTCAGCACTATACCATACAAAAATGTGATCATTTACCTCCCTCGAAGTCCACTTTTGCAATTTGCTTGACTTAGGCACTGTAATTAAAACAAACATAATTATGAAACTTTATAAATGTTAAGTTCGGACTACAGAGACAAGGGTATAAAGTGTCAGCAAAGCTCTCTCAAATTCTTCTTAATTCAACGATTTCCGTTTCCACTTAAACAACTTAATGTTTAAATGGAACTAATAAGACAATAAAGGCATAACTTATATGAAGAACATAAAAATATCTTTAAATTTATTATATTGTTAGTTTTTTTTTAATGAACGAGCTTGCAATAAAGTCATCCGTGGTCACGATCTCTGATTATTAGGGACCATTACACATTAGAGACCTTTTTAACATTAAGGGTCATTAAAGACCCCAGGTCATTAGGGACCTTTCAAACATTCGGAGCCAATCGAGGAATGAGCCATTAGAGACCCCGAGAAGCCAAGTGAATACGTTTGAAAAGGCAGCTATAACTCGAACAATCCGTACTGTATACGAACATAACGATATTTATGATAGGCCTCGTAATTACTTATCAAAATCTCTACTGAACGCTACTTACCGAATTGTGGATCAATCAAAACTATATTTGACAAATCCGACTCAAGTCCGAAGTGACCGAAATTGTTAGAAGATTTGTCGATATTGAATCGACAACCAACGCCTGGTGATGTAAGACACATTTTTTACAATTTTTTTGAATTTTAAACTCGCAATAGATAACAACCAACTAAAGCATCGACTTGATGACATTTTTCAGACTTTTTATCAATCGATTGCACTGGCAAAAGCGGAATTGTACCCAACATTCAATTCTTTTATTTTTTTAAGGATATGTATACCTTAATTCGAAAAAGCGATCATACGACATACATTTAATACAAATTAGTATTGAATTTGTTATGATTAAATTTAAAATATAGCGCTTTTGGATTTTTAATGCGGCAACAAATTAGGAGTATCAAATTATGTATCTATATCTATAAAAGAGGTAAATGTTTGCATGTTTGCTTGTTTGTAATTTATGGACTCGAAAACCGCTAAACAGATTTTCCTGAAAACTTCCAAGTATACTAGAACATTGCCTGAAAGTAACATAGGCTATAAAAAAGTTTGAAATTCCACTTGGAACTGGAGATATGGCATCAGAATCGGAGGTACCTCCCAAAAATTTAGATTTTATATGCACATATCTATTGATTGGTTGAAGATACAGTCTCCAAATTTGGAATACGTAACGGAATTTGGAACAACAATAAGTTTGCCAAATTATATTGTAATCGGTTCAGATTTGGATATAGCTCCCATATATATTTTTCGTCGATTTCACATATTTGATGCACAAAACACGATACATATTTCCGATTTCAATGAAATTCGCCATGAGTGACTAAATTTGGTACAAAAATAAATTTGACAAATTATATTCAAATTCGCTCAGATTTGATTATAGCTCCCATATATATTCTCGGCAGATTTCACATATTTGATGCGCCAAAGCGAGAGAGACGAAATATGGTACCAGAAAAAATTGCCATTGAAATCGGTTGAGGTTTGGGTATGGATAACGTGACCATACGTCCCGCTTTGGGCGGGACAGTCCCGCTTTGAGGTTATCTGTCCCGCTGTCCCCAGCGAGAGCAAAAATGTCCCGCTTTCGAAAATACTGGATATTGATATTGATGAAAAATACATGAGTTATTTTTCCCCGTGAACATATAATTTATTTGCATAGTTTTTTCAAGCAACATTAACATTAAAATTAACTCGAAAGATTTTGTAATGCTAATGCTGGAGTTAATGTCGACGTCGTCGACGGCGTCAAATGTCAAAAAAATTGAATCGTATGAAATTTTATGAGAGCAGTTAATCTTAACGCCGTAAGAAATTCGACGCCGAAAAAGTTAAATCTGTTTCAACTTTTTCGGCGTCGTCGACGGCGTTGACATTAACTCCAGCATAACAAGGGAAATCACCAAATTAAAAATTCTTATAAAAACAGAAAAAGTTTCTGTCACTCTGTCAGTACCCTAAGCATAGACGCTCTAAATTGTTCTGGTATCTTTTCATCGCGGAGTCGGAGAAGGCGAGCAAAGTCAAACAATTTATTTTCAATGTTAGTGATTGTAACATTACAATAATGCCTAAACGCAAGTGTACTTTTAACATTTCTTTGCAAAATAAGTATCCATTTATAAAAAAAGAAGTGGTAAATCAGACGTTACGTGTGAAAAATGTCGTACTGATTTTAGTGTTGGACATGGTGGTGCCAGTGATATTGAGAAGCATTTAAAATCGGAAAAACACAAGCTTTCTGATCAAGCTGTCCGCTTCAAGCTCGTCAATGCTTTCTTTTTTTAAAAGAACAAATTTGGCGACTTCCAAAGACTTGGATATAGCTGCAGCGGAGGGTGCGTGGGCGTACCACACAGTGCAAGAAAACCACAGTTTTCGTTCGAATGACTGTGCTTCAAATCTAATACAAACATGTTTTGAGCAAAAATTTAGATGTGCCCGTACAAAATCACAAGCTATAGTTGTAAATGTGCTGGCACCTATGGCGATGGACGAATTGAAAGAACACCTTCACGAAGCCCACTGCATATCTTTATTAACCGATGCTTCCAATCATGGCTCAATAAAATTATTCCCTGTTTTAGTTCGCTATTTTGTACCATACGAAGGGGTGAGAGTCAGGATTTTAGAGTTTCAAAAGCAGCCATGCGAATCATCTGATATAATTGTGGATTATTTGAAAGAAGTATTATCTTGCAATGATTTGAATAAGAAAATTGTGGCATTTTGTGCAGACAATACAAACTGCAATTTCGGAGGAAAGAATAGAAAAGGGATAAATAATGTTTACGCGAAATTGAACCTATCCGTCGGAAGGCAGCTCATTGGGATTGGGTGTGGAGCCCATATAATTCATAATGCTATCAAAACAGCCGCAGATTGTCTCCCTGCTGACTTCGAATGCATCATTGTGAAAATTTATTCATTCTTCTACATCTACAGCATTCGGGTAGAAGTTCTGAAAGAGTTCTGTGATTCCACCGACACAGAGTATCAGAAACTGTTGGGCTACAGTAAAACAAGGTGGCTTGCTTTAATGCCGGCGCTTGAGAGAATTTCAAAAATGTTTCAGCCTTTGAAAAGCTATTTTCTGAGCATAGATAAATGCCCTACTATTTTAAAAACGTTTTTCGAAAATCCCAGCTCTGAATTGTGGTTATATTTTTTGCACACACAGACAGCGATTTTTCATCAAGCCGTGTTGAAAATCGAGGGACAAAACGTGTCCGCAATAGAGTCTGCGAATGAAATTAATCGTCTCCGAGATAACTTAGAACTTAAAGAGAATTCGATTTTCCTTCCTCATTCCGTCCGCAATCTACTGGTAAAATTACAAAAAACTGACGTTGCTGTTGATGAGCAGAATGTGAAAACTGCGGCAGCGGATTTTTATAAGACAAGTAAAGAATACTTGGAACAGTGGTGCCAGTTCAATGCACAACTAGCAGTATTTGAATGGTCAAATTTGAGAAAAGTCCCTACTTGGGAAGACGTACAGAATGTGACGGATTTGCTGATCACACAAAGATTTCTTAGCAGTAGCCAAGATACGGAGGTGTTCGATGAGTTTTCGCTTATTTCCAGTTACGTCACAGTTGAAAAAATCAAAAGCTGGAACGGTGAGAATGTTGCTACTGAAGACCGTTGGGTGGAGCTGTTTAAACACTTCCGTGCTAATAATCTCAACTGCACAAACTTTCGCACAATTATTGAGTATGTTTTATGTATGCCTGGAAGTAACGCACCTGTCGAAAGAGTTTTTTCCCTAATGAATAAAATATGGACAAGTGAAAAAACGCAGTTAAGTGTGACAGTTTAAAAAAAATGTAATCAGCAATATATATTCTCGGCCGATTTTACATATTTGACGCACCAATTTCAATGAAATATGAAAGTTGTGGCGGAATTTAGTTTAAGAGTATTTTTTTAAAAATTATATTTAAATCGGATCAAATTGGGATATGATTTTAATAAGAGCCATGACCCACAACGCCTTAGGCTAACACTAAAAAACAACACAACAATTAATTTGAACTACGCTTATTACGGGGAAGTATGCTGCTACCTCGAATTCACTAATTGCAATAGATATGCCACTCAACTTCAAAAAATTGCAGTTTCCTGCACGCTTGGTATTTGCTATGAAATAAATAAATCCGAAGGACAAACCTTCGTGTATGCATGTCATGTTACTGTTTTTCTAATAGTTTTGTTTATTAACGCATTAAAGTAGTGCAATACTTTTTTTAATTTTTAAATTTGCTTTTTTTTATCCAACATATATTCGTAAATAAAATTTTGAATGCATATAAAATCGAAGCGCACCGGGTTCAGCTAGTATTATATAAATCCTTGTATATTTTCATCTTTAATGTTAAACATTTGAGTTAAATTTTTCCCTCAAAGAAGCATTTGTCTTTTCTAATTATTTGGCATTTTTAAATGCGTTTTGTTTTCGTGACGAATGGAGTCTGACAATTCTAAATTTGCTCTGTTCTCGTGCGATTGTTTGGTATCTTTTATTTTACTATTTACCATACAGGTCCGCAGCGCACGATTGGATCTACTAATTTGCCCCATTGAGAATGCCACAAATCATATTTTTTTATAGAAAAGGTCGAACATATATTTTGTTATCTTCTAACCTTAAAGGCTTTTATTATTTATGTTAAGCTGTTAACAAACATTTCGGCCCAAAATAAATAGTCGTAGTGAAATGAGTCAACAAACCTTATTATTGCTTAGATCTGACATGTAATTTATCGAACTTTTCTTTAATGTTGTAGAAGAAGTATGTCCGAATAACCAACAAATAATAAAATTGATACAGTCGTGGGAATTATAAACATATGCATAGACTAGACTTAAATAAATCCGCGGGGCATGTCAATTGTCTACAATAGTTGATTTAAATGTTTGTTTTGATGGACGTTGATGTGATAAGTAGGGCTAGAATGTGGAAAC